GTACAGTACAAGTAGCCTACGTATGGGTCTCTGTGTTTCATTCAAGCTCTGCTCTGTGTGTGTGTGGCACGAGCCACGGAACGTGCACCGGTAGGTATCTATCGGAGATCGTTGTGGTTAGCATCTGGTGCTAGCTAGCTACGCTAACGGATATAAGGAGCTTTTTCAACAACAAGGTGGAGGGAGAACTCTCATTTTTTCATTTCATTTCAAACCTTTATTTACCCAGGTGTATCCCATTGAGATCATTGATCTCTTTTTCAAGGGAGACCTGCTCAAGTAGGTTCCACATGAAACATAAAAACATAAACAGAACAACAAAAAGGACATCTTACAGCATCATTACGGGGATTACAATTTACAATAACTATCCACATGAGCAGGTACCAACAGCTTCCGATTGAGTAGCATCCAACCGAGCTTTAAAAACATTTAGTGGCACCAGATTGCTCAGTTTCCATTTCAATTGCAGACTATTCCAAGACAGAGGAGCTGCGCATCTAAAAGCTATCTTCCCTAAGACAGTCCTAGCAGTTGGCACATTTAATAAAACTACAGCATGCGATCTCAGGCAGTAGCCACTTACAATTCGCCGTGAGATCAGGGAGCAGATATAAGATGGAAGTTTCCCTAACATGGCTTTATATATAAAAATGTACCAGTGACTGAGCCTCCGTACAGTTAGCGAAGGCAAACCAGCCCTTGCATACAGGGTACAGTGATGGGTTAATGCTTTACAGTTTGTCACAAATCTCAGTGCACTGTGATACGCAGCATCTAACTTGACCAGGCAATTGGCAGGTGCATTCATATACATCAAATCACCATAGTCCAGCACAGGTAAAAAGGTCAGTGACTAGCCTTTTCCTGTCAGACTGAGAGTCTCAGATAACCTCAGCTCAGGTGAAGTAAATGACTCTCTGTGTTTAGAGAGTTAACTTTAGTCTAAGTTATCTCAGTGGGTCTCAAATAGGGCTGAACGATTAATCGATTTTAAATCGAAATCGCGATTTTAAATGATGCGATTATGAAATGATGCGATTATGAAATCGCAAAGCCTGCGATTTTTTGTAACATTTTTTTTTTTTTACAATTTTTTTTTTTCCATCACATGTTTCTATTACAGGGTGAATCTTAAAAATGAAGCTTGACTTTAAAGCAACCCAACGGAAGTTTCATGTAAGTTTAGTTTTTTCACTCGTAGCTCGGGCTGCGGGGGTGCTAGAGACGGGAGTACGTTGATACGACCTTCCTAGCCGGAGTTATGGCCGCATTTTACAATAAACTTCCGTTGGGAACAAATAAAAACAAATATCGCAAATCGCAATCGCAATATTTGTCAGAAAAATCGCAATTAGATTTTTTTCCCAAAATCGTGCAGCCCTAGTCTCAAATGGTTTGGTCACGATTAATGTAAATAAGTATTTCCGAGGCACACGTTTATATGATCATTATAGTTGTAAAAAAAAAAAAGAGCATAAATGAAAAACAGGTATGAAATACTATATGGCAGTAAAACAAGAATACAGTTTAAAAGGGGAGCGATTTGTAAAATATCCATAAAGAAATTGAAAATCTGTGTACAGTTCTGTTTCATATGAGTGTTGAGAGCTGTATCCATAAATTCATGGATGAATGTGAAGTATTTTGTTAAAGGAGGAAGAAAGCGTAATTAAGGAGCACTATTGGAGTGACTTTGATGGTTATTGGAATCAGGATGAATTAATTTGGATTCCTGCTGTATGAAGAAATTAAAGGACGGTGCAAGTGGAAACAATTTACAAAGGGATTAAACTGTTTAAAACACATGCTCAAAGTAAGCCGGATTTTGCCGATGTGTTTATGTGAATTCAAAAGTTGTAAATAATCTACAAAATGGAGGAGACCGATCTGATTGGAGCAACTGTGACAAATAATCCAACTGAAACCGGCATGGACAATGACTATGTTTTAAAAATGCACTTAACCAGAAAAGCCCGGTTTGGACACTTAACGGGCAGAAGAAACATTTATATTAAATAAATAATTATACATTTCTGTCTTTTTATGCCTTTAATAGCTACTAACTTGAATTTGTATTCAAATTAATTAATCAATTACTTGTTATATTTTATTGTAATGTAGAGACAAGGTTTTTAGTGACAATCATGTATTGCGTTACAATTATATGTAAAAAAATCATCTGAGGCCTGACGCCCCCCCCTGCGATCTTTGGCGCCCCCCAGGTTGGGAACCACTGCGCTAGAGGATGTGAGGTTCACCCCCAAATAAAGCAGGTTAAAATAATTATATTGCATACATTTTTTTTAGATTGTTTGTTATGTGGATTTGTAGTATTTTTTTTACTGTATATATTTTGCTAAATCTTCAAGATTTAGCAAAATACTCCTTTTGAGGCCTAGTACATACAGTGGCAATGACTTGAGACATTGCCACTGTATGTACTAGGCCTCAAGAGCCTTTCTTTTGGTGGCAGACACATAGAAACAAATTGGCGGGG